AACTTAGAGGCGTAATCTCTAAATGGATAACATTTTCAAAAATTATGGCTCCGAAAACATATAAATAGAACCTGATATGGAAGAAATCCTGAAACTGCAATAAGTCAAAAAGCAGCTCTGCAATGTCAAAATGGAGTTTATTTTCAAAAACTACGGCTCTGAAAACATATAAATATACCCTGATATGATTGAAATCAGAAAAACTCAAATATGCCAAAAATTAGTGGCGTAATCTCAAAATGGAGATTATTTTTAATAACTACGGCTCTGAAAACATATAAATATACTCTGATATGATTGAAATCAGAAAAACTCAAATATGGCAAAAATTTGTGGCATAATCTCAAAATGGAGTTTATTTTCAATAACTACGGCTCTGAAAACATATAAATATACCCTGATATGATTGAAATCAGAAAAATTCAAATAAGTCAAAATGCAGTGGCTTAATCAAAATGGAGATTATAATAATAATAATTGTAAGAAGCTTTCTCAACATTCAATAGAAATTAAAATTGAACATACCTGAGGTGGTTGGAGTTGATCCTCCTCCTCTCAAGTAAACAAAAAACCTTTTGTAAAAGTATTGACAAATAAAATAATAATAATAACCTTTATTTGTGCATACAATGATAAAACAATGGATAAAAAATAGATATATACAAAATCTCTTATATGTACAAAATCAACTTAGTTGAGGTTTTGAGTTTGATTTCTTTCTTTCTTTATTTTTTTTTTACTTAACTTTCTGGTAACCACACTAGGTAATGAACCTGTCCCATCCTTTTCCTTCTCTAATGCTACTCTCTTCCAGGCTGCTCCCCGCAGGTCTTCTTCATCTCCTTGTCCCAGTCTGTCGGCAGGCAGTCCTCTCTTCCTGACGTGCTCTCTTGGATACCAATCCATAAACTGTCTGGTCCATGTTAATTCATTCCTCCTGATTACATGTCCGGTCCAGGTCCACTTCCTGATGTGCACTTTTTCCACAATATCTGGAAGGTCAGTCTTAGCTCTGATCCATTTGTTTGTTTTTCTATCCCTTCGAGTTATCTCTAGAAGATATCGCTCCATTCCTCTGACGGTTATTCTCAATTCGTGGCAAGTCTTCTGGTCAATTGCCCATGTTTCACAACCATATGTCATGACAGGAAGTACTGTGCTCATCCGAAGTTTTCTCTTGACATCTAAGCTAACCGAGGATCTATATATATCCTTAAATTTGAAGAGGGATTACATCTCCATCCTCTGGGTACATCGCTTGATTATTTCTTCAGTTTGTCCTTTAATTGAGATAAGGTGCCTAAGATATAGAAATGTTTCTACTTTCTCTATATGGTGTTCGCCTATTTTTATATCTCCCTCAACGTTCACTGATATATACTTGCATTTTTTATAATTTATTTTGAGTCCTATGTTTTCTCCAGCCTTTATTAATTGATTTGCCATCATTAGGATTTCTTCTTTATTTTTACCTATTAGGACTTGATCATCCGCAAACTCTAAATGGTTCAGCCACTCTCCAAAAATTTTCATTCCTTTGTTCTGCCAATTCATAGTTTGCATCAAATCATGGAGAACTGATATAAATATTTTAGGAGAAAGGGTATCACCTTGTCGTACACCTTTACAAATTTTTATTTTTACTGTTGTATTTCCTGATTTATATTCTGCATTGGATCTCGAATACATATCTTCCAGTATCTTGAATTTTTTTGAACTAATGTTCCTCTTTTTGAACATATTTATAATACAATTGGTTTATAGGGAGTCAAATACTTTTTCGTAATCCAGAAAAAGGAGGCTCAAGGATATGCAAATGATATAGCTACCCTTACTGGCAGGAAATATCAGAGTATTCTCTTTGATTTACTGAAGTCGGCTACAGACAGCTTAAGGAACTAGTAGGGAGTCAATGGGCTAAGCAATAACGCTAATAAGATCAATGTATGCGTTTTTACAATTAAGAAAAAGGTGACAATAATGGATCCTGTCCAAGAAACAGCAATATTTTAATCAACAGAACTAGAACCTCTCTTAGCAAAATTAGTAATAAGTAGTAGGCCCGTGCGAAAAATTCGTACAGCATATTGTTATCAAATGCCAAATTAATAAGAAAATAAAATAATGCAATGTATCAAAAGATAAAGGAATCAATTGTTACTTTATCAATAAATATAACAAAGGAAAAAAAAAACTTATTTAAATCTTCATTTTTGTTTGGAGCCAACATATTTACAAATTTCAATAAGCTGTATCTTTGCGAAAAATCGTCCGATTTCGATGATTTTTTTTCCTTTTGTAGACAATTTAGTAATTTTTTATAGAATCATGGGACGATGATATGGCTTGCCGATCAAAAACACTATCAATAAATAATATGAACTCCTCCTCATAGAGACCTCAAGTCGAGGAAATGAGACCTGTATCCAATGACAGTACTACAATTAACGTCAGGTTGTATGGATGTGAACCCCATGCCTTGCGTTATCTCGAAAATAGTACGTTTTTGGGCTTAAAAATGCAGAATCCGATAGTTCCGGAGGAACTATCCGGGTCTTGCTGTACGCATCAAAATCTTCAAGGTCCAATTTGTCCCGCATCGATCTACAGACCTACCATCATTCCAGAATTGAAGCCTAGCAGAATGTTTGTATCGACTTTATTTATTTTAGAAAGAAAAACAAAAGTGGAGAAAACGATTCGCTAACCCCCCGTGAAATTCTGAATCCAACGGTACCCCATTCATGGTATTACTGCATGAGAGGAGCTTATATATGGTACAAAACCGATTTCGAGCCTTATTATAATAATATATGTATGGATAATAATAAAACATACCTGAGATGGTTGGAGTTGATTCTCTCCCTCTCAAGGTAGACAAAAATCCTCTTGTAAAAGTGTTGAAAAATAAATAATAATAATACTTTATTTATTCTGGGGTGAGATTGCATTATTTTGAAGAAAAAGGATGTCAGAAAATACTTAAATGGTAGGAAGGATATAACCACTTCAACTCCTCATAAAAACAGGGAACAGAGACGTCCCTTGGGATCTCAAAAATGAATCGTACAAAGCAATTTATCAAAAGTTTAGTTTCGCCTCAAGACCTCCAGAGATACCTCCATATACAGTTCAGCAATAGTCAAAGTGGGAAAATATTAAGGAAGTGATGAGGAGTTTACAGGTTTCAAAAGGAAATAGGTGGCAGACATAATTTAAATATTTTAAAGAGGAAAAGGAATGGCGGGAAATATTGGATACATGGTCTTTCCAGAAAAAGGTTCGATCAAAGGTTTTTCCAAGTTTCTTAATGGTGGGATAAAATTTGATGGGATTATCTTGTAGGAATAGGGTTGTGAATTTAGGAATAGTTTTAAGGAGGTGATTGGAGCCTATCCAAATTGTCTTGGTCTTCTCCGCATTCAATTTCAATTTGTTAGCTTCTGCCCAGTCACAGATTTTATTTAGGTCCTCTTGAAGTTTTTTTGTGGTGGCTAATAGGTCAGAAGGGGGAAAGGACAGGTGTATTTGGAATTCATTAGCAAAGATGTGGTATTGGGAGTGATGGATCAGGAGAGGAAGTTCATCAATGTAAATAGTAAACAGAGTAGAAGATAAGAAGGAACCCTGAGGGACACCCCAGGAGAGGGAAAGTGTCTTAAAAAGAGGTTGACCTGGGACGACTACAAATTGGGATCGATCTGAAAGGAAGGATTTGAAACAACACAGGACACTATTGGATAGAGGAAGATTTTGAAGTTTAGAAAGGAGGATGTTTTGGTCAACTGTGTCGAATGCTTTGGAAAAATCTAGAAGGATAAGGATAGTAAGTTTTTGGTGTTTGGTGGAGTTTTGGAGGTCATGAGTAATTTTTAGGAGGACAGATTGCTTTGAGTAGCCACGATGGAAGTCAGATTGGAGAGGGTTGATTAGGAAATGTTCCTCTAGGAAGTTGGAAAGTTGATTTAGGACAAGGCATTCCAGCAGTTTTGAAAGGTTGGAAAGGAGAGAAATAGGGCGGAAGTCATGAAGTGAGGAAGTGTTTGGAATTTCATTCGAAGGTCAGACTAGGGCCGTTTCCCAGTTAGGTGGGAATATGGAGTTTTGCAATGAAAAGTTGTAAATACGGAAAAGTAGAGGAATAAGGAGAGGAAGGCTGGATTTTATTAGTTTTACTGGAATATTATCAGTGCCATAATCATTTGTATGGGATTTTAGGAAAGTGGAAAGGAGTTCATCATAGGACACATGGGAGAAGAAGTCTTCCGGATTGAAGTTGTAATGTTCAATATCGAAAGTAGGAAAAGTGTTAGAAGAGAAGGATAATAAATGGTCATTGAGATCATCTGGAGTAACAGAGAGGGAAATGAGGTTATTGGATTCTGGTAAGGATAGATTACGAAGTATTTTCCATTTGGATATGCAATCAGGAGCATTGGAAAGGGCATTATAGAAGTAGTTGGATTTAGCAAGTCGAGCTGTTGATTATACCACTTATTATACCACCGCTGTTGATTTTTAGATTATACCACTGCGTTTCAACTTATTTGAGTTTTTCCGATTTCTTTGATATAAAGGTCTATTTATGTGTTTTTGGAGCCGTAGATTTTGAGAATGGTCTCCATTTTAAGATTACACCGTTGCGTTTCGACTAATGTAAGTTTTTGGATTTCTGCAATATAAGGGTCCATTAATATGTTTTTGGAGACGTAGGTTTTGAAAAAATATCTATTTCAAGGCTGATCTTGTGCATTTAGATTAATTTTGGCTCTTCAGATTTCTTGGTGTATTTATATTCCATCATATCAATAGGTATACTTTTGTCCATTACTTTGTTTGAGAATGAAATTAATTAATGCTGTGTAATTTCGTAGTAATAAATCTATTATCTGAATAGATTTTTGGAATTCCTCATTAATAATATATGTCATAATTAATTATAAAATATTTCTTATAAGGAACTACGTAATAACACAAATACAATCTTAAAAGAAACATACCTCTATTTGGTCAAGACTTGATTCCACCCAGTATAAGTTATAGCCAATCCAGTCAACTGCTAATCCTTCAGCTGTTGACAAGCCAGTCTCAACAACAACCTCTATATTGCCAATAGCTATTAAAAAACAAAATGAAACATAATTAATAGTGAAACAATTTTCTTTAAACGTGTCTGAAAGCCCAGTTTTAATAAAAAATAGACCCAAGCCAAAAACATTGATGCATCTTGAACTTTTTAATCATTACTTTCTCAATGCAATGCAAGTTACAATTTTTTTTAACTTTATTGTTAATATTAAATTGATAGGAACTAAAAATAAAACAAAACATTTATTTCAAAAAAATTATATTATGAAGAACAACTGAGAAAACAAAAAAATAACAGGATATTACAAATTTTGTTATAATATTCAAAACTCATATTGAGCTCAGTCTCTATTACCAATTGTTGCCTCCTCTTGCTTGAAAGATGACTTGTCTCCTCCTCCAGTCTTCTAGTTTTATATATATTTAGAATCTTCTGAAGTTTCTGGTCTTTAAAGTAAATGGTGGTAGTACTTATACTCATGTACAGTTTAAATCATATCGAGAAGACCGCTCTCCTCAATTTCTTGAATGACCATTTTAGCACCTTCATAAAGATCTTCTTTGGCTATGCCTATACAGTCCAGAATGAGAGATGGAGATGTTTTGTTGTATTTACCATATATCTTTTATCCCTTCTCAAATTTTAGATTTTTAATATGTCCTGTTTTTAATCTTCAAATGAATGTTTGGTGGGTTCTATCAAGTTTCTAAAGACTATAGATGTTTTTAATAGTTGGTATATACTAGTGTACAGAGTCAAGTGTACAATACCTTCATATATACCTTCATATATATGAAGGTATTGTACAGAGGATACAGTTACCAGAAGGTCTCGACAAACCGAGTTCAGTAAAGGGGTAATATGACTCATTGGATGAAGGAAGATGAATAGAAGGATGACCTCAAGTGTCAAGGAGATCAGCACCCGAATCACTCTTGGTCTGCAGTGTAAGGTATCAACCTTAACATCTAGCAGGGATGGTAACCACAAACAGAGGGATCAATCTCCAGACTTTGTGGGAAGGTGAAATACTAATGGAGGGATCAATCTCCAGACTTTGTGGGAGGATGAAATACTAACGGAGAGATCAATCTCCAGATTTTGTGGGAGGGTGAAATACTAATGGAGGGATCAATCTCCAGACTTTGTGGGAGGATGAAATACTAATGGAGGGATCAATCTCCAGACTTTGTGGGAGGATGAAATACTAAAGGAGGGATCAATCTCCAGACTTTGTGGGAGGATGAAATACTAACGGAGGGATCAATCTCCAGACTTTGTGGGAGGATGAAATACTAACGGAGGGATCAATCTCCAGACTTTGTGGGAGGATGAAATACTAAAGGAGGGATCAATCTCCAGACTTTGTGGGAGGATGAAATACTAACGGAGGGATCAATCTCCAGACTTTGTGGGAGGATGAAATACTAACGGAGGGATCAATCTCCAGACTTTGTGGGAGGATGAAATACTAAAGGAGGGATCAATCTCCAGACTTTGTGGGAAGGTGAAATACTAATGGAGGGATCAATCTCCAGACTTTGTGGGAGGATGAAATACTAACGGAGGGATCAATCTCCAGATTTTGTGGGAGGGTGAAATACTAATGGAGGGATCAATCTCCAGACTTTGTGGGAGGATGAAATACTAATGGAGGGATCAATCTCCAGACTTTGTGGGAGGATGAAATACTAAAGGAGGGATCAATCTCCAGACTTTGTGGGAGGATGAAATACTAACGGAGGGATCAATCTCCAGACTTTGTGGGAGGATGAAATACTAACGGAGGGATCAATCTCCAGACTTTGTGGGAGGATGAAATACTAACGGAGGGATCAATCTCCTGACTTAGTATTTAGAAATACAAGCAGACGAATCAGCATCCAGATCTTATATGGAGTGAAACAATAAGATAAAGGTTCTTGGACATAAGGAAATAAAAGGCAGATGGTTGAAGACAAAAAAGCGTATGTGCGTCATATACTGACCAACTGTATAAGGTGCTTATTATACGGTCTACACCCCGAAGGGCAGGGAACCGAGAACCTGACAATCTCCTCGAAGGACTGCAGTAATCATTCCACTATGACTAAATCGGCTATCAAGAGCTGTTACAATTACAGTTATTTTTAAGCTTTGATCAGTATATGTTATCGCCATTAAACTTTATTAATAAAAAGTATTTACAATGTATATATATATATATATATATATTTTTTTTTTTTTTCGGATGGCTCTGCAGACCTTGTAGATCTTTGGCCGCCTGAACCAGCCTTCTCCACCTCTGCCTATCTTGGGCTACTGCTTTCCAGTTTGCGGCATGAAGCTCAGCCGTATCTTTGTTTATCCTATCTATCCATCTGGTTTTTGGCCTCCCATGTGGTCTCTTGCCTACTAATATATATATAATAATAATACTTTATTTATTCTGGGACAAGTCCCTTTAGAATAACATAAGGATAGTAATGTGGGCTAAGGAGCCTCAGAGATATATAAAAAGAAATGTTGAGTAATGAAATAGTCATATTACAAAATTATAAGTTACATTCTAACTTAAATAAGTTAATAATAAAAAATTGAAAATAATGAAGAACAATCTAATAATTTATATACATATTTACAGTGGTATCTATTTACAATTTTATGGGGACTGGATGGATAAGGAATGATTGAACATGAAGCGGGATTTAAAGGTAGGAAGGGTATTGGATTGATGGATGTGGGAAGAGATAGAGTTCCATAAGGATGAGGATCGGATGATGAAAGATCTGTCGAACCTTTCACCCAGTATAAGTTATAGCCAATCCAGTCAACTGCTAATCCTTCAGCTGTTGACAAGCCGGTCTCAACAACAACCTCTATATTGTCAATAGCTATTTCATGACCTATTATCTGACTATTATTCATATCTTAAGTTATAATATATAAAGGTCGAATTATAAAAAAACAACAACATTGTAATATATATATATATATATATATATATATATATATATATATATATATATATATATATATATGTATATATTAATATATATATATTTCAATTTGAGTATTTTACTATACAATAATGAGAAATAAAAATACATCTTTTAGGTTTATTGCACAAGGTGAACTATTTGTACCTTGTAACAAGTGGTGGGAATCTGTAGCCACACTAGGAATGGTTTGGAAGAATATATGTAAGAAATGTTCGTTGATAAGTTCATTTCTATAGAGTAAAATTAGCTATAACAAAGATCTTCATTAATTTCTAGTAACGTCCAAGGATCCATTGAAAGTTTATTTGAGTATTTTTGTTCAATTATTTAAATCTTTTGTAAATAGTTTTGCTATTATTATATATGATATTCGGCAATAAAAGATGTTGTATTGCACCTTTGCTGTCAGTAAATTATCTATTGTTATCTATTATTAATATGTTATTATCTGTCTATTGTTAATAATACTTCTTTGATGACTATCAGTGCAGCTTTAAAATTACATGAATCATCAGCATTTCTTGCTCTAATGAGTCTAAAGAGATTCTTCAATAACTGTACCACTGCCCATTAGCCAATATTCCAGTGCTGAAGATGATAGACTATTTATCTTTTCCATGGCCAAACCATTTAAAAAGTCTAGTTAATATATTATTTTATCAGTGACAGTTTAAAAGTTAGGAAAAAGGTTAACATTCTTAAAAGGATTGATTGGGTTGGAAAAAGGTTTCAAGGGGAATGTTTCAAGAGTATATTCCACTACTTTGCTTGATTTAGTTTCATCAAAGGGAGTTGGCTCTTTGAGTCAGTCATTTGATTTCCGTTTCTAGTTCTGTGTTGTTTTTTTAAGCTTTTAAGTTTGTTTATATATTTAGCTATGAAGAGCTTATGTCTTTCTTCCTAGAGTGGTAAGCCTGCTTCTTGTTGGACTATGTTATTAGGACAAGATCTTCTTAGCCTCATTATACTTTTAAAACATAAAGTTTGAATTTGATTCAGTTTCTTCAATGAGATGGGTGATGTAGAGGAAAGGACAGCATATCCATACTCTAATAATGGTCTAATGAAAGATTTTGAACTGATTTTGAGTTTCTTTTAATCGGTCCTCCAATCAGTTCCTGCCAAGTATTTAAGTAAATTTACTCTCATCTTACATAGATTAAAAATGTTTTGTAGGTGACTAGGAACAGTTCTGAATCAAGAGTAAGGTCTAAATATTATGAGGGCTAATTATATTTGAGTTGCTTATCATCCATGGTAATATTTGGTATTGTATCAAAGAATCTTATAATTTTACTGAGAAAAAAAAATTCTGATTTTGTATAATTAATTGATAACATGTATTTTATAGCAAATTTGTAAATGTTTTGGGGATTTATTCAGTGATTTCTCTGTGTCTTTTAAAATGCATTTTGAGTTTGAGATTATAATGCCATCAGTATACAGTGCTATCTGAGCATTTTGGTTACTTTTCCACAATGCCTGATATGTATAAAATGAACTTTAATGCACTTAAAATTGGACTCTAGGATATTTCTTGCAATGAGATGAATGGGTTGGAAAGTGTAATTGTTATATTTTATTAAATTTTTTTTCTTGAGGAAATTTTGATAATGATTTGCCCTCTATTTCAATTTTTTTTTAAACCTTGACAATTGACTTGTATTTCTAAATTTTTACTAAGAACTTAATAAGGTCTAATAATGCACCAACTATGATATATTTATTTTTAAAGTTTTCTGTATCTTTTGTATTTTGAGTAAAGTAGAAAATTTTTTCTATAGTAGAATGTACTGTCCTGTAACGATAATGCATTTCAAGTAGTGGGCTATTTTCGTATAAATAGTAATTAAGGTGTTTAAGTATGATTTTATCTAATACTTTGCAAACCATAGAGTAATTTCAAGAGCTATTTCAGATCTTCTTTTGTCTTTTTCAGCAACATATAATTTGTATTAAGTAGAGATATATTCTCCATTTACATTTGTAATAATTATATCAGTTTTGTAATATTTGTTAATTTTCATTTTTAATATGTTAGTAGTGTTAGCAATAATAGTGATAATGTTCTTATTTCTTGAAGAAGAATCAAACAACTTTACAATATCCATTTAAATACACTATGCAGGTCTTTAGACTTTCTGCAGTGTAGTTAGTTCTTTACAAAACTTGATAAATATAGCATAACAATCTTTACTTAACTAAGTATTATACATTAGAATAGAATAGAAACATCAACTTTATTCTGGGACTATGTCCCTTAAGACTAAGACTACAAATAAAAATAATGGTCAAGTTTGGTCATAACACCAATTACATAAGCAGAAATTAAAATAAATACCCTTCAATAAATACGTATTTACATAATTATTTAAAAAAAAAAAAACATAAAATATATATTAAAAATAGATAAGAAAAGGTAAAATAAATATTCGATACTTAAATAGAATGATATAGAAAGGATAATTAAATTAATCAAATAAGCAAACATTCTAAACTACCTAAAAAAAAGATAGATTAATAAATTTCAATTATTATTAATTAAACATAATTGTTTAGAAGTTGTAATGAATAAATAAATAAAGTAGTAAACTGTAAACAAGAGCTCTGTAAAAAGTAATATGAAATATGTATTCACAATCCTTACAAAAACAAAAAAAAAAAAAAAAAGCATGTATAAAATACCCTTATTACATAATACATATTTAGTGTTTTAAATACATATTTGGAGAGTTTTAAATGTCGATCAAGAGGAGGAATGCGAATGTTAAGAAGGAGAGAATTCCAAAAAGTGGGGAAGTGGGTAATGAAGGAGTTTTGGAATGAGGCAGCTTTATGAAAAGGAGTATGGAGATAAGAGCGTCGAGATCTTGTGGAGAGGAAGTGGATGGAGGGCTTGAATTAGAGGAGATTATAGGCATAGGACGGACAATGGTTGTTGATTCTTTAGTAAAGGAATGTGCCTAGGATTATTGTCTTCTGAAGGAGGAGAAGAGCCACCTTAACTTAGCATAATAGTGGGAAACAAGGGAACGTCTTGGTGTCTCATTGACAAATCTTATGAAGCTATATTCATAATCCTTCATAGTCTTTCTCCGAGATCTGCCAAGAGGCCACTGTACACAACACAGTTGTAGTAAAGGTGGGGTAACATGAGGGAGGAAACTAAGAGTCTTCGTTAAGGTTTTGGTATGAGATGATGGAAGCAAAGAAACAGTTTTAAGGAGCAAATTGATCAACGGGAGCTATTATCGCAATTTTATCCAGTCTTGCATTCAATTCGAAGCTGAGACCTTCATATTTATCCAGAGCTGATTTAATATTTAATATGGCTCATTGTTACAATTTCGATCAGGATTTTCACCACCCGGTGGAATCTTTTTAGCCTGATCGCAACTAAAACAGAACCATATTTTTTTTGAAGATTTTTGTGCTTCGAACTCTTTATTGCTAAGTATACAACACTTACTATGAAATAATAATTTACACTTAGCACAACATTAAATATTTTTTTAATTGCGAGTGATGGTGCTGCTGCAGATCGGGCATTGAGCCATATTGTTAAACAATAAATAAATCGTAGTTACAAGACATGTTGTTTTTATACGTAAGACCAACAAAAGGTCCTACAGGGCACAGTTATAATCCTACAGAGCTCAGTTGTTTAATACCTCGTAGCTCATAATAATTTAATTGTGATTCGTGTAATTGACGCTTTCCTCATTGGATAATACTGCCTTGCCCAGTCATCTTACCCTGATAATTCTGATAACGAAGCATAAGGTGTTAGTAGAGGCATGTTGTTCTTGATTATTTTTTATCTGTTTTAGAATTGTCCCAAGTTTAGTAGCAGAGGTTTATTAATAAAGCTATTGATATAATCATTTCCATTTGTTACTTTTGATATCCACCATTTTTCTTTTCATTAAAGCACACATATTTAGAAAGTAAATGATGATGAGGGTTAATTATGACTCTTTTAATCGGCAAAAATTTCCCAATCTGATAGATTCAAGGCAATAGAAACAGCTTCACTGTACATGGAACAATAGAAAGAGGCATCACCAGAAGTCATATTGACATTGGGCTAACTTTGTAAATTCATAAATGAAAGTGAATAGCACTTCAAATTGTTTTTATTACATTATCCAATTTTTTCTTTTAGTACATTATCAATCCTTCATTCATTCATGAAACTAAACTGCTAAAAATTAAATTAAACAGATTTTCAAGTAAATGAAGCAGGGCATTGTATTTAATTTTCTTACAGCCAACCGCATTATCTGAGTTTTTAGTTGTTCAAGGTCTACTCTTAATTACTTTGGATAATCGATGTTCAACTGTATGTAATAATTGCAAATTATATGTATCATTACAGCTGCTGCCTGTATATGGCTATCCTTCACTTTTAACTGTTTAAACAGCAACAAATAATTATTATGGCATTCATGTAATGCTAAGTAAGCAAATTTGAAAATAAAATAATCTATAAAAAAAATCTGGTTAGTAATACAGAATAGCCGATAAATCTATTTTAATTGAAGTACCATTATTATTATTTTTTTAAATATATAGATATCAAAATCTTAAGAAGTACTCACTACCAGAGATGAGGGATCCTTTATAAATCTTGTTATCAATAATATCAGTCCAGAAAATAATATCAGCTCCTTTGGGATCATGCAGAAAATCTAAGGCTATAGTGTTCTTAAGACTTGATATTAGGGGACGTACACTTAATGAGTGTAAATCAACACTACGCAGCTCATGACGGTTACTGAATATTACATATGGAGTGGCAGAATCTAAAATCAGGGTAAAGTTTTTATCAAAAAATTATCATCTATAATTTTATTTTATAAATTCCCTACAAATAGTATAAATTTAACCTGTACATGACAAGTAACATATTTTTATTTTTCAATTTCAAATAACTAACGAATAAATTTCTTTACCTCAAGAGTTAATAGCAATGAGTTCTAATTTCACTAAAAATTAAATTAATAGCTGAATTTGTTAATGACTCGATAAAAATGACTCAATTTGTAAATATCTCAAATTTCTAATAATTCAATGATATAATCTAATGAACTTGGCAGTTTTTAAAAAACAGCTAAATTTGTCTTTATCACTAACTGTTGCAACTTACATTTTTCAACAATAGTCAACAATTAACAATTATTTGAATAACAATATTTAACAATAATCTATAATAGCTATAGATCTCTTATGAGAGAACTTGGGTAAATTATATACAAAATAAACTCTAAATATAACTTTAAAAAAACAAAAACATATTGATAGCATGTAGCAACAGTATGAGTTCGCAATAACCTCTGCTACTGTAAACTAATAAAATTAATATGCTTTCATTAGCAATATTTTAAAAACTAAAGCAAGTTTTTAGTTATTGAATTAACTAAATAAAATTGATTTCATTTATAATCTTAAATTTATTTTTTTTTTCTCATGAATTCAACACTTTGCCAAGGTCATTTGTTAATAGCTCCGAGGGCATATGTGTGACCATGGGCACATGAATGGGGACCTCTACTATAAGGAAATAAAAGGTGTAATGATCCCATAATGATGGAATGATTCATATTTATAGTAACATGAGCCTAATAAATTATGATTTATTTATAAATTATAATAAATCATGATTTGTTGTAGTTATTAATGAAGAAGGTTGGTAGCTAAATAATTAGCTAAAAGTGTTCAATTAACCTGTTGTCATAAATTTTTTAGTTCACACCATACTACCGTTCTTAGAGAACTTTTAATTATTTAGTATCTGACTTAATTTTCTTAAAATAAAATAATTGTTTTGAATATGAAAGGATATTTTCTTTTTTTTTTTTTTTTAGTTTTTTTGAATACCTCTAATACTTATATATAGACATCTGAGGACAATTACACATGAAATTCAACAGAACCATGTGAGTTGAATTCATTTAAGCTATATTCCTAAATTTCATGGTTACTCATTAATCTTATCGGACAATGTCACTTAATAGTTATTTACCCGAAGTCCCAACTGCAGTTGACACTCTAAATTTCATGGTTACTCATTAATCTTATCGGACAATGTCACTTAATAGTTATTTACCCGAAGTCCCAACTGCAGTTGACACTCTAAATTTCATGGTTACTCATTAATCTTATCGGACAATGTCACTTAATAGTTATTTACCTGAAGTCCCAACTGCAGTTGACACTCTAAATTCCATGGTTACTCATTAATCTTATCGGACAATGTCACTTAATAGTTATTCACCCGAAGTCCCAACTGCAGTTGACACTCTAAAAAAGTTGAATCCAGTGTCCAGGGTTTTCCTTTAAAATAGCTTTAATTTCAGGGCATAAATAGTCCGTCTGCAGAGCTAAGTGCCAGTCCCCTCAAAAGTTACCAACTTTTGACTTATCTGATTTCTCTCCAACTTTTCGAAACCACAAGAAAGATTAGTTCATTCATTGCTTAATACCTTTCTTGAGTAAAAGACTCTCCTTGATCCCCCCCAGTCAGGTTTCTGATCCTCAGTATTTAACTCAATCTGTTTTGTTGAAAATTACCCAAGATCTTCAATTCTCCATAGACAAATAGAATATCTCTATCCTGGTTCTCTGATTTTTCAAAAGCCTTCGATTCAGCTAATTACAAAATTCTCCATTACAAACTTCAAAACCTCTGCATATCAAATAGCCCTAAAATGGTTCCTTCTTGTATGACAGATCCCATAGTCATTATTCTCACTAAAACTCGTTCCTCTCACCTCTTACTAACTTGTGGTGTTCCTAAGGGATCTTCATTCTCTCAAACTTTTTTTCTCTATTTATATTGACAACCATCCTCATACCTTCCATCATTCACAGTACCACTTGTATTCTGACGACCTCCAAATCTACCTTTCATTTCATCCTACCCAGATGCTTGAAGTGATCCGAAGACTAGAAGAAAATATAAACATCATTAACACTGGGGTAGCAAGCAGTGATCTGAAGCTGAACATAGAGAAGACCAAAGCCACTCTTATTGGTTCCAAGCATCTTATTAATTTCATTCCTTGCCCGACCTTTCAAGTTCAGTCACAATAGTGAGTAAAAAATATTTATTTTCTTTTAATCAATTTAATTAACAATACTTAGGAACCAATGCCAATTTTTTTATTTTAACCAGAAGAAGGTCAAAATATAACGAATGTGTTGGCCAATGCTAATCCACATTAAAATTAATTAAATTAGCTATTTATTCATCAATAATCTGCTTAATGTGGACAGAAAACGGAATTGACGAATACAACTTCCCGTCCACTCAGTGCGAATCTTCATTCCTGAATGAGATTCGACTAGTGTAGACACACATTTATAAGATTGCATTATTAAATTACCATACTTCCATTCCTATTTAATTGGAACATCGAAGTAAAATAAAGAATATACTTTTTTTTCTTATGAATTTCTTCAATGTGAAATTCTCACCAACTGAACTGTCTCAGGAGACCCTTCATCTCTTCTAACCCATCGCATCCTCCTCCTACAGTTGCCAACTAGCCATACTCTCCACCACTCTATCCTTCCATCTAACTGGACATCTTCCTCTCCTGGACTTTGCAAAGGATAGATCTTTGCCACGGATGAAGGAGTTACCATAGAGGCAAGAGAATATTAAACAATAACGGGCAAAGCCTATTAGAATTCTGCATTGACAAAGATATTGTCATTGGCAATTCTTTTTATCCACATAAACAGGTCCAAAAGATAACCTTCTCAGCACTGGAAAGAAGCGTAAACAGTGTGATAGACTACTTATTTTACACCAATGAAATAAGGAGCTATTTTACAAATATTAAAGTCATAGGAGGGGCTGAAATTGGAAATGATCACATGCTTATTATTGTCGATACCAGAATTCCTTTTGTAAAGAAGCCTAGAATCAAAGCCTTCGAAAGGATAGAAATTAAGCAGCTAAAGAATCCCCGGAAATGAGTGGAATACGAGAAAAGCTAAAGATTTGGCTACAAGATCTGAATTTGATAAAGACCGGGATATTCTTTGACCTGACCTGAAAGCAGCAATATTGGAATCGACTACAAGTGTGTAGTGTGAAGAAAGTGTTGGCTAAATGAACGCGTTCAGACTGGTGGAATGAGGAGCTTAGAATTGTCATAAGGGAGAAGAAAAACATTTGGAAAATGTTTTGTAAAGAAAGCTGAAGCAACTACGAGTTTCACAAAAGCACAAGAAACAAGGTGAAAGTGGCAGTGAGAGAAGAAAAAAGAAAAGCATGGGAAGAGTTTGGTCGATCTCTCGATAATGATCTATGATCAAGGATGATGAAGGATGAAGGAAAACATCAAACTCTTCTGAAGGAAAATCACAACTCTTAGAAGCAGGAAGCCCAAACATATAAAAACATAAAGAATGAAAAAGGAAAGTTGGTGTCAAAGGAGAAAGAGGTGATGGAAACTTGGCGTAGGTACTTCTCAAGACAGTTCAAGGGCAATCCAGAAAAAGTGGATCATCTTGTTTAGGAAGCTGAGGTGGAGGATCAAGGAAGTGATCTGATTGAGGAAGACGAGGTTGAGAAGGCTATTGCGATGATGAAGGCAAAGAAAGCAGCAGGCCGAGACAAAGAATGTAGTCCCAGAAGTCCTTAAATATGGAGGACCAAAGTTAATAGGATACCCTACAAAAGTTCTTCCAAAGGGTTCGGGGCGATAAAGGAATGCCTTGGGAATGAGAGTACAAGGTGATAATCTCCATTCATAAGAAAGGAAGTCAAAGTGATTGCTCCAACTACAGACCTATTTGCCTGTCTCCCATGGTTTAAAAATTATATACTTCTATTTTAGAGAGCCGATTAAGACTAATGGTAAAGCCTATCCTGCAAGAAGAGCAAAGTGCTTTCAGGGCCAACAGGCAAACACAAGACCAGATTTTCCCCTTGCGGAATGTGATAGAAAAATCCAGGGCCCATGACAGGAACATCTATCTGACATTCTTGGACCTGCAGGCAGCATTCGATTCGGTGCCCCGGAAAGAAATTTGGGAGTCCTTAAGGCAAAGAACATTACTCAAAAGCTCCTAAAAGCTATAAAATCAACGTTCCAGGAGTCAAAGTGTGTTGTGCAATAAAATGGACAGGAGTCAGGAATGTTTGACCTGGAAAAGGGAGTGAAACAAGGGGACTCTCTGTGCCCCCTTTTCTTTATTGTATATATGGATGAGATTGCCTCTATTTGTAAAAAACATAAAGCCAGAATGCACATGGGATAATGGAACCAACATCCTGTAGTCATACAGTTTCTCCTATTTGCAGACGATATCGTTTTTATTGCCAAATTCCCAGAGTTACTTAAACAGGCAGTAACAGAGTGGAATGAAGAACTGAAGAGAAAGGGAATGATTATTAATTAAAAAAGAAAAGAAAAGTCCTCGAAGTTGGTATATCTCAAGAAGATGTCCATATTTTCTGTAGTGGAAAGTTGATGGAGGTGGAGAGAGATTTCACGTACATTGGCACGTTGATCAGTAGATCTCATGAAGTAGATTTGGTAATCTCAAGCAGAATCTACAAGACAAACTCCGTTTAAGACCAAATCTGTAACTCAGTTATAGGAAAAAGGGAAGTGAGACAGGATGCAAAGCTTTACTTATTCAAGTCTGCCTTCCTACCAGTACTTCTCTATGCAGTGGAGAGCTGGATTATGAATAAGCCTCATGAATGTCACTGCCTCGAAAATTAAGTTCCTTAGGATAATTGTGGGGAAAACATGGAGAGACCATGTTAGGAATAAGAGAATTA